AGTGGTGTGTGATCAAAATCAAGTCTCAGGAGGGAGGGCGAAGAGGGTGTAAATGTCTAAGTGCAGTTTGATTTTAACCTCTTCCTTCCCCACCATCCTGCCTTTCAGCAATGGTTTAACATGTATAAACCCATAACCATCAACACATCTCTCCTCTCTGAAGAAGCTGATTCCTTCGTGAACAAGTTGGACCCCAATAAAGTATTTAAAAGCAAGAACAAAACACCAGTGATCAAAAAGAAACAACCTTCCCAGCCGTCAGGCTCCCAAAAGAGTCACACGAGCATGACCTCCTCCAAGACATCCTCGCTAGCTGGGAATTCTTCAAGGAAGTGAGACCCCCAGATCTGACCCTGAACAGTATTTTCAACAAGCTTTGATGTTCTCTGATGCAGAGCCAATGGTTCAGATGGAGTTCCTTGTGCATTAATAGATGTGCCCATGGAAAACACGTTGCAGCATTTGCATGAAATAAAGCCACAATGTACTTTGACATGGGAGGGATGTAGTTCCTTGAGACTGGGAGAAAAAAACTTGAGACACTGATTTAATTTCCTTCTGCTACTTGCAGTATGTACTTTCCAGAGGGCATGAAGAAGCCGTTGATGTCACTGCTGTATTGGGAAGCTTTTGTTCTTGTACAACTACAGCAGTGAAATGAAAGCAGATGTAAGTCACCATTACTTTAATAGACCTATGCTGAAACACAGTGTATGAAGATATTTTCTGCCATCTCCTTTGAAAGAAACTTGTCCTGACCTTGCATGCTATGGATTAGGCTGGAACCCACTGAACAAAGAAATATCTTCTGCTTCTAATAGAATCAAACTCTGCACTTCCCCATGCTCCTTCCAGTTTCTGCCCTCAGAGTCATGGTTCAAAGAGACCTTGGGCTTCCATGTCTCTGCACTGGCCTAGTTGCTTGCTCTACAGCCCAGACCACTTAGAATCATAGACTCAACTAGGTTGGAAAAGACTTTTAAAATCAAGTCCAACCGTTAACCTCAGGACTGCTAAGACCACCTCTAAACCGTGTCACTGAGGGTCTCATCTACATGGTTTTTGAACGCTTTCAGGAATGGTGACTCCACCACTGCCCTGCGCAGCCTGTTCCACTGCCTGAGCACCCTCTCGGTGAAGATATTGTTCCTAATATCCAACCTAAACCTTCCCTGGCACAGCTTGAGGCTGTTTCATCTTGTCCTATCACTTGTTACCTGGGAGAAGAGATTGATGTCCACCTCAGTCCATCCTCCTTTCAGGCAGTTGTAGATAGCGATAAGGTCCCCCCTGAGCCTTCTCTTCTCCAGACTAAACCCCCCAGGTCCCTCAGCCGTTCCCCATCACACTTGTGCTCCAGACCCTTCACCAGCTCCATTGCCCTTCTCCGGCCCCGCTCCAGCACCTCAATGTCTCTGCTGTAGTGAGGGTCCCAGCACTGAACACAGGATTCGAGGTGCATCCTCATCAGTTCCCAGTGCAGGGGGATGATCACTGCCCTGGCCCTGCTACCACACTATTGCTGATACAGGCCAGGATGCTGTTTGTCTTCTTGGCTGTCTGAGCACAAGCTGCTCATCTTCAGTTCCATCAATCAGCAGCCTGAGGTTCTTTTCCACTGAGCAGCTTTCCAGTCACTCTGCCGCAAGCCTGGGGCAGTACATGGGGTTGTTGTGGCCCAAGTGCATGGGCCAGCACTTTGCCTTGTTGAACCTCATACTATTGACCACAGCCCATGGATCCAGCCTGTCCAGATCCCTGTGCAGAGCATCTTATCCTCCAGCAGATCAACACTCTCACCCAAATAGGTGTCATCTGCAAATTTACTGAGGGTGCACTCAATCCCCTCATCCAGATCATCAATGAAGATATTAACACTGGCCCTAACACCGAGCCCTGAGGGACACCACTAGTGAGCAGTTACCAACTAGATGTGACACCATTTACCACCGTTCTTTTGGGCTCAGCCATCCAGCCAGTTTCCAACCCAGCAAAGAATTCACCTATCCAGGCCATGAGCCGATAGTTTCTCCAGGAGAATGCTGTGGCGGACAGTGTTGAATGCTTTACTAAATCCAAATTGACAATGTTCACAGCCTTTCCCTCATCAGCCAGGCTGGTCACCTTATTGTGGAAGGAGATCAGGTTGGTAAAGCAGGACCTGCCCTTCGTTAGCCCATGCTGACTGGGCCTGGTTGCTCCATTTTGCTGCACGTGCTTTATGGTCTCACTTAGGATCGCCTGCTCTGTGACCTTCCCCGGTACTGAGCTCAGGCTGACATAGCTGGAATTTCCAGGGTCTTCCATCCTGCTCTTTTTGTAGAGAGGTGTCATGTTGGCCAGCCTCCAATCCTCTGGGACCTGCCCAGAGGACTGCTAGAGACCAGATTGCTAGACTAGACCAGGACTGCTGATACATGATGGAGAGTGGCTTGGCAAACTCCTCTGCCAGCTGCTTCGTCATTCTTGGGTGTCACCCGTCCAGCCCCATTGATGTGTACATATAAGTGGAACAGGAGGTTGCTAGCCATTTCTTCCTGAATTATGGGGACTTCAATCAGCTTCTCATCTCTGACATGCAGCTCGGGGATCTGAGTACCCTGAGAGTGGCTGGTGTGACTACTAAAGACTGAGGCAAAGGCAGCATTTCCTTTTTGGAAATGCTTTTCCTTTTTGGCCTTTGTGCCTTGTCTTTTCAGATAGTCAAGTCTGTGTGATGTCCTTCCCAATACACCCAAAGGTAGCCAGAAGCTGCAAGATCCCTCACTGCCTCTGATTTCTCCTCCTGTAGGAATTGCTGAAACACTGGGTCAGTGATGTTGAGAGTCCCATAAGCCAGGAGGACCCCTTGGTTTGTCATGCATTCATTTGCAAAGTTGACCATTCAAACAGCCTTTGTCACTTTTCAACTGGGCAGGATCTGACCTGGGCACACTGAGATCCTACAGCCTTAGAAGCTCCTGATGCTGTTTTAATAGTCTAAGTTGTCAGGTTAGAACCGCACTTTAACCCATCCAGTGCTGGTTTTTATTTATACCTGAAGGTTTCCATTACTTTTCTGTGCTATTCTGTCTTCTTAGGTGTGCTGGAAACACATGGTAGCCACCCACACATTTTGTGCCTAAGCAGGGAAATCCAAAGTCACCATCTCTAAGTAAGCATCAATTACTTAAACAGTATCATCTTTTATTTGTGAAACAGTCATATAATTACATAATACAAACCTACCTCACAGGGACGTGAGGACAAGTATTTGTATGGCCTTCAAAAAGAGGAAGCCTGTAAGTGCTTAGTAGTATTTTAATAAAGAATTTAATATTTTCCTCCAGAGTGACTGGGTATTTAAAGTTGCTTTGGGGAGCACATGTACCAGGATGTATGGTAAAAGCAGGGCACAGGCTGGATTGGTTTGTTGGGTTTTTTCTAATGGAGTGGACAATCTCACTGAGAAGGGTTGGATTACAGTGTCTTTTTAGCTAATCGCATTGTGAGCTACTCTGAAGTTCCCAGTTTAGTTCACATAGACCAAAAGACTCAGCTGTTTGACAGCTGTTCAGCACACCTCTGTCCTGCACTCAGTGTTCAAAGTCTCTGATGCCATCAGCCCCAGCTCTTGCACGCTTTGCTTGGTTTCCAGCACTGTCCAAGTGCAGTTTCTGCATTGCCTTGCTGAGGGCTGCCCTCTGCCACCCCCATGTGAGAGGAAATTTTCTAATGCTCCTCAGCCCTCTGAAGCTGACATGCATCTTGTGCTAGGTAAAGATCTGTTGTAGCTGCTCTACTAACATAAGGTCAGCTCAAAAAGAAAGCAGAGATGTCAGTACCTATCACCCCACCCCACGCCACATTAGTGGTCCTTTTAATAGAATTATACAATACCAGGTTGGAAAGGACCTCAAGGATCATCTGGTCCAACCTATTATAGTCTATCTTATTATAGACCTGTCTGGTCCTACTATATTAGTAGCGAGATGTGAATGATCATTAAAGCCAGTAAATGCCGTTTTCTGGAATTCTGTGCAGTAGTGATGTTCTGTCACTTCCTACTTATGGAGATCCCCGTATTTTGTGTTCATGGCACCCTAGGACCGCAGTCATGTGCTTGACATATATACCATACTTGCTTAAGCATTGCCTAGGAAAGTTAAGACTCTTGTTACCCCACTGGTGACAGTAAGCTTCTGATACTATTTAACTTTTATTCTGATACCTCAGTCGTGGAAGGCTCTTGCAGGTCCACTTCCTTATTCAGACGGAGGTGGCAGAATTCCTTCAGGAACAGGGCAGCCTCTTCCCACATTTCTTATGCATTCACAGTGGGGAAAAGGGCTTCAATTTTGGTTTTTGTTTAATTGAGCATTTGAGTCTCAATCCTTTTATGGTGGTAGTTAAAACTCCAGCCTATTGGTAGCACACATAATTCCATGACACCAACATGTTCCAGTAGAGTGGTGCCAGAAATCAGGAAACTTTGTGGTTTAGTTTACTGATTTTTTGGTGCTTCCTGAATGTTCAGATCAAAAAGGAAAAACCAAAAACAAGCAAAAAAAAATCAAGTTCAGGTCTGTATTTCAGACTATCCTTGCTCTTTGTGCTCTGCCAAAACAGGTGTTTGTTAGGGTTTATCAAATGGAAGCAAGCTTAAGTCCCTGATCCATCAGTATTTACTTCTTACCAAAGAATATTCCAGATGAAAATTTCTTTAAGTTAATTAAGCTTTTTCTGCTGATTTTATATAATGTATTTTGATCTAGTGGAAAGTGTCCCTGCCCATGTCCGGGGGTTGAAACTAGATGATCTTTAAGGTCCCTTCTAACCCAAACCATTCTATGATTCTATGAATGCATAGGTATCTGGAGTCTTGCAGCTCTGCTTTGCTTTTCTCCAGAATGTGATGATTTTATCTTTGGTAGATGTTTACACAGGGAGACTGAATAATTCCCTCAGGTCACAGACAGGTCTAGCCCTGCCCAGGTCTGCCCAGTGTATTAGAGACCCAGTTTGTCTGCTCAGGCAGAGTTTATTGAAGACCAGTCCCACATTTCTCCACCAGCAGGGTAAAGAACTGGTGTGCTCCGGCAGCATTATTGCACATGCCCTTACCCACTTGTTTACCCTTTGACTGTCAGTCCGTATGTCCACATAGGCTTTGATGTGAAGTCCTTTCCTTGGAGCACGTGGCCATCACAGTGTAGAAACCTCCACTGCTCTCTGTCCTTTCTCATTCCCACATCCCGTGACAGGTGGGTTGTGAAAATCAATGAAGATTTTGTGGATGAAGACACCAGTCAGGCTTCCCAGAATTGGTGCTGTGACTGGGACCCACCACCAGTGGTGTCCAGCCCTAAAATGAAACAGAGGAGAGGCAGCCAGTGAGCCACATTGGAACCACTGCCCTGCCACTGAGTGGCTGCAAGGGCAGGAGTGAGCTGTGTGAGAAGGGGTGTCTAGTCACACTTCACATACTGGGCCCTACAGCTGGCTTAGACACATTCCCTACCCACCAGCATAACTGCTGGAGGGAGGGTCATTTTCCCCATCAACCTCAGAAGGTGTTGCTGCACTGTCTGCAGGTTTCTTGCTGTCCTACCTACAGAAATGGTCTGTGTGATCCTGATGAGCATGACTATCAGACAGAAAGACACACACACCTCTTTTCACTCCCCGTTTCCAGTAACATCGGCACCTCCTTTACCAAGCTCTCACTTATTTTCTGGAAATTTAATTAAACTAATGGGCAGGAGATTCTGCTAATGCCCTCAACCATGGGAAAGGCCATAGTGTGGCACCATTGCTAAGCAGGGGAAGGCAGGGTTTCATCTCCAGATTCAGACATCTAAATTTAAGAGAGCTATTCAGTAATCCATCTATAAGTACCTGCTTTCATGTGAGCTGAATCAGTCTTTGGCTTTCCATTCACTGTGATATAACCACCTAGACCTCCAGCTAAGAGGTGGCCAGTTTGCTGCCCAAATTGAGGTGTCCAAATTTCAAGATGAATCCCATGCTGGAGAATTAGTGTGCCCCAATTTTTGTGCGCATAATGCACCAGCCTCCTCTATGCACAACTTTTGCTGTCTGAGAATGTAGGATGCGCTCTGCACTGATACCATCATCACTTGACCCAGAGAAAAAGTCTTTGTGGCTATTCTATCTTGGGTTTATCTGCTCTCATTGCAAGCTGAGCAGTGTAAAAGCAAAGAGGGTCACTCACGTGAAGACATCGGTTCCCCAGCCAGCAATTGCCGTGAAGATCCTGGGGGGCAGGTCTCGGGAGGGGTTTATGGCATAACCTGTGTTCATCCCCATCCCCATGCCAATGCCCAGGACAAGGATACCCGTGAGCAGGGCCTCTGTGCCTCTCAGGGCCCTGTTGTTTTTCTCATCGTGGATGATCAGAATGCCCAGGTGAAGCATCACTGTTGCTAGAAACTGCAGGAGCACAAAAGGGACAGCAGGTCAGGAGGGAGAAGGGGGAATGCAGGATCATCCTCGGCAGAGAGGAAGAGATTTCACAGATTGGAAGAGCAGGTAACATTCATGCTCTGATCAAGGCAGGGAGGACCTTGTTCTTATTCCCGCCTCACAGGTGGATGGGAGAAAATTCTGGACTGATTTCCCAGCAGCAATAACTCCATGTCATCACCAGAAATGCCCTAGGACTGACAGAAACTTCTCAGCACTGTCCTCTCCCTCCACCTTTCAAGTTAGAGACATATGTTATTGTAAGTACATTTCATCTGACAGAGGCAGACCCATAACAGACTGCTAAGAAGACAAATCTGTTCCTCCCTAGAGGGAGTGATGTTTTATATAGCCTGTTGCATCAGCCTTTTCAGGACTAAAAGCAGATACTAGATTCTCCTCTGGGACACTGAATCTCCCTTTTGTGACAGTACATAGCGAGAAGTTGTAGATCTGTGATGCCCAAGATGTCAGGAACTGTTGTTTGAATGCAGGTGATTCCTGTCTTTTTCTGCTTCAGAACGTGCAGCTGGAGAGCCTGGGACTGCTTGCAGAGTTGCCAGCAAAAGTAGAAACTCTGCAGCTCTTGGCAATACGCTGTCACTGTCATTTGCTTTCTTGTGTAGCAAGGACACTGCATGCTCTATGGGAGGCTGAGTCATCAGGTCCCCACCTGTAAGCTATCCGACTCTCACTGCCATCCTCATCATACCCAGGGAAGAATTTTGTCAGAGACAAGCACAGGCTTCCTTAGATTTGAATTGGGACTGAATCTTCCTTCTCCAGTGCTCCAGTGCTCCATGTCCACTGAAGCATCCCCTTCCTATTTCTGGGCATCTGGACATTGTGTTGTGCGCTGGGAATCAACTGTTCGTGGCCTGAATTGGACTGTTCAAACCCCAGAGAACAATCCAGACAGCCTGTGGTCTGAAGGGGACCTACAAGGTTGCTGGAGAGGGACTCTTTGTCAGGGACTATAGTGATAGGGCAAGGAGTGATGGGTTTAAACTAAAACAGGGGAAGTTCAGGTTAAATATAAGGGAGAAGTTCATTGTTGTGAGGGTGGTGAGGCACTGGAATGGGTTGCCCAAAGAAGTGGTAAATGCTCCACCCCCTGCAGTGTTCAAGGCCAGGTTGGGCAGAGCCTTGGGCAACATGGCCTAGTGTGAGACATCCCTGCCCAGGGCAGGGGGTTGGAACTGTATGATCTTAAGGTCCTGTGCAACCGTAGCCATTCTGTGATTCTATGTGAAGGCAGCCCTGGGTGCTCTGTACTGGTGAGGGGCAGCGGGCAGAGCTGCCCAGGAGAACAGGGCATGTGTAGGATCCAGAAAGGGGAAGAGCAGTTCAGAGAATTGCACAGAGCCTGAAGGAGATGCTTCCTGATACAGCTCAGCTTCCCATTGCCTGGGCTGCATGCAGGAAAGGTGTTTGGAGGGCACTGTGACCAAGCCTGCAGGCATTACCTTTTAGGCTTGCTCAGCCACCAAGATGCCTTTCATCCTACCTGCCAGGCACCTGCTCTGAATGGTGGGCTCCTTGGAGAAGAGGTTGTGATTGTCTCTGCACACTCTCTCTGGCACTCACAGTGTTACCACCTGCCTTGCCCAGCACATCCCAGCAGTCCCCACTGACCTCTGTGAAGAAACTCCCAGGCAAGGACATATAGGGAGCAGGGTAAGTGGAGAAGATGGACGCTGTGGCAGTTGGTCCTGTCACTGTGAAGTTCCCCTTGGAGTAGTCGTACAGAGCATCTTAAGGAGAAATGGGAGTTAGAGGAGTTAGCAGAATTCATCACGGCACATACGTGAGTCCATGCATTGCAGCCAGCGTGGACACCAAGAGGAACAGAGGCAATGGGAGATACAGTGGAGGTGACACACCCCAAGCAGGGCATGATCTCACTGACACCTGTCACCTGCAGCCTTTGGTCTGCAATTGCTTCCTTAAACCTACCGGCTCCATGCCCCTGCGCTGGGAGCCTGAGGTAGGCTGGATGCTCTGGATGCACTGGATGCCTCCATCCCCTGCCTCTTAGAGGATGGGACATGCTGGAGCCAGTGAGTGGTGTGTCCCTCTCAACTCAAAATCACAGATGTCTGCTGTACTGTTATACACGGACCAGCAGAGTCCCCCAGAGCTCCATCTGTGCCTAATACATGGTAGTTCCATTTAACTTCAGCCCTTGCAGACTCTTGGAAACAAAATGCAGCTCCTGGCCTTGAGCTGAGGACAGGTTTTGGTACTGGGAATACCGTGAGCAAAAAGGAGCTGTGCTGTCCAAGAACTTCTCATCCTTCCCACAGATATCTGGGCCCTGCTCTGGCCTGGAGCTGTGAAGGTCTGTCCCACATGCCAGGAGCAGACCCTTCTCACTCAGACATCATGCTGGGTACTGCAAAAGGAAGACTGAAATGGTGCCCACAGCAAAGCCTGAGATAAAACACACAACCGTACCATAGTAGATGCCAAAGACAGTGGCTGCTGCTGTAAAGGAGCCCAGAAACTGGCCGATCACATAAACTGGGAGCTTTATCCAAGGCAGGTTTCCTAGAATGCAGTGTGTGATGGTGATGGCAGCATTCAGATGAGCTCCTGCAAAGTCACAGCAAAAGAAACTGGCTTCAACCCTGATGCAGCCGTTTTGGAGCATGTCCCAGAACCCCACAGCAAGCACTCAGATGTTGATCCAGGACACCAAGACTGTCAGGGCAGGGTCCCTCAAAACTGACCTGTCTTCCCTGGGCAACTGAATGATGCAGGACGGAGAGCTATTAGCTTTAGTCTTCTAAAAGCTCTGTAGACCACAGGCTGCTTTCAGAGTGGCTCATCTCACCTCAGAGACACCTCTCTATATAGGTTTCACCCTGTTCAGCTTAAGGGGAGCCCAAAACTTAGACTCATCACCCATCTTTTATACAGCTGCAGGTAGATAAGATAAATCTTATTCCAAACAATTGCAAGAGAGGGCCTCATCCTGGCAAAGCTGAGCACTCCAGCTGATGGGAGCTGGAGGGACTCAGGTTAGCTGTTAGATATCACTGCGTTGAGAAGAGGGTTACAAGGATAGTCAACCCTGCCCAGACCATGGTTGCTCCCACTAATGTGAAGCAGACCCTGTCCTTCCCTTGCAGAGTTTGTAATCTTTGACTGTATTTCTTTGCATCCGTGTTTAGAGAGGGCACTTTCTACGCAGCAGGTTGGTATTCAGTGGTGCCCTCAGTGCAAGCTACGTTTGTTCTCTGGGCCTCATCTCTCCATGAGTCCAAAGGAAGTATTTGCTTTTCCTACCTGGTAGGTGTAAACTCTGTGGGTCAATAGATGTTCCAGTCTTAGTGGCCATCTCCAACTCTAGACTCAGAAAGGGGTAACATCCAGACACACAGCACCTCAACAGAGTGAAGTAAAAGTGCATGTACTGCCACCACTGACATGGGGGGAGGTCCCTTTTTCTTTGATCCTTTGCCAGCATGACCAGCTATTTCAGAGATCACAAGAAGCATCTGGTGACATAAATGATGCCATATTACAGTGACAGGAAGCCCTGAAGCTGGCTTTGGAACCAGACTTGCTGGCTGATCCGAGACCCTTTCTTCCACCTCCAATCCTTCCATTTCAAATGTCAGCTGGAACTGTAGGGACCTGCTTTCCTCAGTCCCCTTTCCCCAGGATGTCACCACCTGCTCCAAAAGGACAGGGAGACCATGGGCTGACTGCATGGACCAATTCTCTCCACCAAGCCCCAGCCTTGGACATCTGTCTGCTCCAACAGTTCAAGAGCAAGGACTTGCTTTAATCATCTGGCCTCTAGAGCCTTTAATCTCTTCTCTTGGTGCAAATAAATGCAGAAATTCCACAAGGCAAAGGTAATGCTCTTGTCATGTGAGAGTTACCACCCCATGGCCCCAAAACACCACCTCCTGAGCTCTTGAAGGGTGTGTGCACGTGGATGTGTATGATAAGGAGAAAATTTGCATGCCATTCCTTGTTGCAACATCAGCAGTAAGCTCTCCTTTGCAATAAATTATTTACTTCCCCATGGGTCACACCGCCAGCGTGCTTTCAGACCTCCTTGTCTTCTTGGGCTGTGATGCTATATCCCAATGTGACTAACGGGGGCACTGCTGAAACCAGGCTCTGCTGACTACAGCAGGAGGGAATGGCTGAACACCCACCACTATCCCTGTCCTACTTGCCCTGGTCTAATCAGCTCAGGACACAGGTTTGGGGACAGCATTCTGTCGCTATGCTGTGCCTGCCTTGTTCCCTGCTTCTAACCTTGCTGCACCACTGGGACACCTTGGCTTGAGCTTGGACCTGTCTCCCCACTGCGGACTTGGCTGTGGTCACTGGGTCGTGAGGCTGACCCTGGTTATGGTCACCAAACTTGCTCTGCTCTTCTTGCTTGGGGACCCTAGGACTGACCTTCCTTCAGGTGAGGGCACTGTGTCAACTGACCATGCCATTACCCACCCTTCCACGTCCCACTCCTGCTGCCCCTGATGCACGTGGCCTTTATGGGACACAGAGATGTCCCAAGCTCGAGTGTCCTGCTCACCAGAGATTCCTCCAGCTGCATGGATGCCCAAGGTAACACCAATGCCAAATGCCAAATTGATGTTCAGATACTGCCCGAAGTTTTGTCTCCCTAATACCACTTGTGCCACAGAAGACAAGCCAAAGACCTAGAGCATGGAAAAAGAAAGAGAGAAAGGAGTGTTAAAAGTACCTTCATTGCTGTGGTGGACTGAGCTTCTTTGCTACTTTTTCTGCAATTTTAATAAACTCAAGACAGGAAGACTCTAAGGTGCCCATTGTCAGGAGATGAAGAATGCGCCTCCCCTGCACAGACTGAAGCAGTAGATGGGTTATTCCTCACTGGTGCCCATCACACTGAAACAGGCACTCTAGTCATCATTGGCTGTGGGGAGACAAACCCCAAACCCACACATCGAGATCCAGGGCTCAAAAGGGGTCACTCATACAGCCACGGTATTGCGCCTGTGCCTGAAACCAGGGACATGAGCCAGGGGAGCATCACCATTGACCATCAGGAGACAGTACCCATGATGGGTGGAAGGACAGTGGGCAAATTCTTTTTGTCTTTCTTTCCCTGGTGTGCAATTTGTTCACTAAGAACGTGGTTTGGGCAGCGCACAGCTATTCGCCAAACCCAACTCTAATTTTGTAACTTACCCCAGAAAAAAAAACAAGGAAGGAAATTCCGTTTTGACTTTTCCTTTCAATGCATACACATTCAGTTTGAAAACAGCCAAAGTTTCAATATTTTTTTTAGTGACTAAAGGGGAACCAGGAAAAAAAAAAAAATAAGCAGCAAAGTAAACACTTTCCAGCAGGAAAAGGCATATTCAAGAAATTGCTCTGGCCTGAAATTAAATTCTATTTCACTTTTTAAATGTGGTCAGAGGGTGGAAAAATCAGTTCTTTGCACAGCTCTTACACTGAAATCCAGAGAAGGACAAAGATTCTCTTGAGGTCTCTGCCTCACAAACCACTTGGCAATTGAAGAATGTATCCTGCTTCTCGGACTACACTCCTGTTTATCCAGGGTGGCATGTCCCTCCGAGACAAAAATGTCAACATGTTCTCCAGCATCTAAACTTGTGCTCTGTCCGTTCTGACTGTGATCTTTCCTGTCTACTCTGCCTGGATCGAGTTCATCTCATAATCCACTCTCCCTCTTCCCTTTCAGACATCACCCCTGCTCCCCAGAGACGCTATTCTTAATTCTCTCATATACATGAAGCCCACTCTCTGTGTGAGCCTCTGTCAGTCTGCCTCAGCAAAAAGCACCAAAGCCCCAAAAAAACACTGTTTGGGATCTGCAAAAGCCTTACAAAAACTCTGCCTACTCATCTCTGACTTTCCAAAGCCACATCCAAGAGAAGCCAAATGCATAATGCATTTGTAGGTTTTGTAGGACAGCACGGAGGTGCAGAGAGAGGGACTTGGGGCAGGAGACATGGCTGAACACCAGTATCCTGAAATAAGTGTATTTCAGCACAGATCCAAGCCTCTGATCTCTTTCTCTATTCTCACATTTCCAAAATACCCTGTTTATTTCCCTATCTCCCTACTTCTGCTGCTGTTTACTGCTGCCTGGTTCCCTCCTTTGTGATCACTGCCTGTCCATTAAAGTAAGAAGCCTGGGCTGGGCACTGTTCTCCAAATAACACACATCCAGGCATCATGGAGATGCATCCAGCACATTCCTGGCTGCCCTGAGGGCCCTGGGGCTGCTGGATGCTACACCTGAATGCTGGATGCTATTTGTTGCCAGCCCATGATAAGGGTCCATGTGTAGTGTTCCTCCTCCTACTTTATTCCCTTGCAGGGATCAGTGAACAAGGCTACAAAATCTGCCTTTGGTTGTCAAGAGTACAGGGGAAAGACTCCTCCTCATGCTTCTTTCTCAAGGCAGCTCAAGCAGGACACCTCTGAACTAGTTCCTTGTCACCTGGAACTTCCACCACCAAAAAGCAAAAGGGGATGGAAAGGAAAATGATTTGCTCAGCTCCTCCTGAGAAGCCACAGACATCTGTGCTCTGAGTTCCAATGGGTGCAAAGCTACCTGTGTAGTAGGGCTGAACTTCAGGTAGCTGGATGTGCAATAATATGTGATAAAATGCAAGTATCCTTTGCATGTGCAGTCGTTGCCCGTGAAAACAAGCACCTTTAACTGTCAGCAGTGTCAGAAGGTGCCCATGGTCACAGAAACCTTATCTTCCACCTGTGCAAATCTCCAAGTACAAGTTTTTGGGGCTATCCCCAGCCCTTTCTTGCTGCCTCTGTCCAGTCCTAAGTGTCTCAGCCCAGGCTAAGCCCAGGTATAGTAAATTAGCACAGACAGCTTCTGGAGCTTTTCAGAGGGAGGATGCCATCTGTATGTGTTGGTCCAACACATGAAGGCTCTGGTCGTGGTGGGCACTGAACCTCAGCCAGGGGTCAATTCTGACTGCAAAGCTTTCCTCACCTACTCCCCAAACACCTACAAAGCAGCTCAAGAGCTCGAAACCATGTCTCTTTCTCTGCATGAAATAGATCCTTCAGGCAAGGGATGAGTTTCTGTACGATATGGATAAACACTATCCATCTGCCCCATACGAAAACCAAAAGTGAAATCCTAGCATGCTTTAAAGCTGGTAATTACAGCTGTAAAGCATGCTGTAATGGTGGGTTGTGGCTCCAGAGAGTATCACAGGTATTCATTACCTTGGCAACCCCAAGAGGAAGACAGATGAATGCTGCTCTCATTTCACAGAGGCTGTCAGTGGTAGAGGAGTTGGGGTCTGCTCCCCAGACCTGTGCAGGACCCCCCAACCACACCATCGCCTATGGCACAGCAGGTAGAAAAGCCTCAGTTCACTGCATGGGATCTCTCAGGGGGCTGGCACAAGCATTGTGTTGCCCCATCTGACCAGGCTCTGCTCTTTGGTCTCATTCCCAGACTTTCCCTCCTTTTATTCAGAGAACTGTTTTCAGAGAACTGAAACAATGGAGTGGCCAGAGAAGGGCAACAGAGCTGGTGAAGGGTCTGGAGCACAAGTGTGATGGGGAATGGCTGAGGGACCTGGGGGGGGGGGGGGGTGGTGGTGGTGTGGAGAAGAGAAGGCTCAGGGGGGACCTTATCGCTATCTACAACTGCCTGAAAGGAGGATGGACTGAGGTGGGGTTCTTCTCTCAGGTAACAAGTGGTAGGATAACAGGAAATGGCCTCAAGCTGTGCCAGGGGAGGTTTGGACTGGATATTAAGGAAAATTTCTTCACTGAAAGGGTTGTCAAGCATTGGAGCAGGCTGCCCAGGGAAGTGTTGGAATCACCATCCCATTTACAAGATGTGCAGATGCCCTTGGTGATACGGTTTAGTGGTAGTCTTGGTAGTGCCGAGTTAATAGTTGGGCTCAATGATCTTAAAGGTCTTTTCCAATCTATTTCCAAGCAATTCTATGATTCTATCCCCAGTTACTTCACAGACTCCCAGTGACAACCTCCCAGCCTCCACACTGCTTTCTTCCTCCATAAGGTTTAGGCACGTCTTCCTGGTAGGAAGCTGCACCCCACCAGAGCAGAAGGGTGAGCATTAGCAACCAGAGGCTGATGATGTGATAGGACACCATTGACCTTACAGCTGCTAAACACTTACCCTCTCACCCTCCCTGCACACACACATGCATGCACGTGCATATCTGGGCCCATCCTTTCCTTACCATGAGGATGTACATCCCCAGTGCTTCTGCCAGCATCTCCCTGATGGTGACACTTCGAATCGTGAGCGCCTTCTGAATCTTCTCCATCATCTTGCTCTCTGGCTCCAGCCTGCAGCCACAGCAGCTCCTGTTGTGACAGTACACTTACTGCTCTGAGCCAAGTACCCTTTGAAACTTGGCACCCTCCCTTCACCCCCAGACACCTTCGTTCATTTAGTTAACGATGAACAAGCCAATAAACAAGCAGATAGCTTCAAAGTCTTCCCACACACAAATGCCATCCTTCTAAATCTATATGGTGAGGATGCAATACTTCTGCTACCAGACTTTGCAAACACTGGGCCCCTGCCCAGGAGCAGCCTATCTCCAGGGCAGTGGAGCTGTAAATAGCCTTGGTGTGTTCCTAAAGCCTGTCTTTCTCTGTAGCCTTTCCCACAGGTACTGAGCAGGAATTTTGGCTCTGCTCTGCATTGTAACCCCCTGGCTGGTGGTTTGGTACCATTTTTTGTTATAACAGGTGAGATTAGGAGTATTTGCTTGTGCTTTGCAGGATATTTGGATGCCCAGCCTTCGGGAAGGATGCTCTCCCTGGAGCTGATGTGCACCACTATCCACAGTTGGGAAGAGCATAATGCCTTGAGTGTTGCTCCAGGTTGAGCATTTTGCTAAATGTACCTGTGTCCAGTCACACTAGTGCAGAGCCTCCCTGCTGCCCCTCCCCGGTCTGTCCTTTCATCTGGGGCAAGGAAACACCCTTCTCAGCAATTGTCCCAGCGACCTTCAATTACGTCTGTCTGCCAGAGCAGAGCCCTCATTGCCCTGATTAATCCTCCATCTCCTGATTCCCTCTGCTTATCTCCCTGCTCACCATGTGCTCTTACCCCTCCACTGTGAAGAGGTTTTAATACCTTTGCTTAATCACTGAAAAGTTAAACCCATGAACACTCAAGACCTCTTCCTGCAAGCCTTGTCTGGTTCCTTGCTGCTTTTATTCACCTTCCTCTCAACCCACTGCAGCTTCTCAGTGTGGCCCTGGAGAGGACACGATGCACAGCTCTGGAGGAGTTAGAAGCAGCTTCCCCGATGGGAATGCAGTGCTCTGCTCCTTCTGCCCCTGGGGTTGTCTCCCTCTGCATTAACACATTGCAAATGTTCATGAACTTTCCTTCCCCCCACAGGACACTGAGCAGATGTATGGAAGAACCTGGGAAGCTGATTCTCCTCTCCGCCCCATAGAGTCATACAATCATAGAATGGTTTGGGTTGCAAAGGACCTTAAGATTATCTAGTTCCAACCCCCTGCCATGGGCAGGGACACCTCACACTAAACCATGTCACCCAAGGCTCTGTCCAACCTTGCCTTGAACACCACCAGGGATGGAGCATTCACAACTTCCTTGGGCAACCCATTCCAGTGCCTCACCACCCTCACAGTAAAGAACTTCTTCCTTATACCCAATCTAAACTTCCCCTGTTTAAGTTTAAACCCATTACCCCTTGTCCTATTGCTGTAGTCCCTGATGAAGAGTCCCTCTCCAGCATCCTTGTAGGCCCCTTTCAGATAGATGACTGTCTATTTTATGGCAGGGGAGGGTTTTATGGACTGGGGTAAGCCCTCTTCCAGTGACAGATCAGCTCTTGACCTTAATGAACACTAGGCTAAACATGCAGTAATTTACTCAGTCTGTCTCTCCCACTAAGGTCCATTTAATCATGACGGGTGATAATCTCACCCTCTAAAGGGTGTTCCTACAGCATGTTTCAAGGTGGGAAGGGTTTTCTGTGCTTTGAGTCCGTGAGCATGCTGTGGCACAGAAAAAGTGTCCAGTGAATCTTTCCACGTCTTTTCTTTCTCTGCCATATTAGTGTTTATTGGTTGGTTATTACAGAAACATGGTCCCTGGAGAACCAGACTGGGGTGGTGACAAGAGCCTCAAGTTTCTTCTGCACATGGTAATTTCCAGCTGACATGTAAAGCTCTGGTCCTGGCATCAGCTCGTATTGGAGATCTCACAGCCTTCCTCACATGGATGAGGTGTGAGTGGGTCAATATTCCCCACAGCTGGACCTACAACTTTGTTTCTCACTCCTAGATCTCAGGGAGCCTTACAAGTGGATTCCTCCCTTGTGGGCACACAAGCTGCTGTGTTTCTAAAACGTTTTGTCTCCTGCATTCAAACATTATCTATAGGCATGTCCATATTCTCATTTGGGTTGATAAATGGAAACGGCTCCCATGGACTTGCAGTTTTCTCAGGGAAAAAGGCAATCCCAGTTTGCAATAGAAACCTTTGGTTTGGTTATAGTATTTGCAGCATAATCCCCAATATTACCACTAATTTCCCTGAAACTCCAGCATGCTTCTAGGATGGCGTAATGGACACGTCTCTTGCCACTGCTTGTTCTTTTACACAGATCGTTCCACAAGGTGGCACTGAGACACTGATTTCTCTCTGAAAAGTGTTCAGAAGAGTTCCTCTGTCGGCTGCTTAAAGTGAGTACACACACTAGTTTTAGGGTTCCTCTGGGCGTTTTTAGACATCAAAGTGATCTGCCGCTGTTCAAGACGTTGAACAACAACAACACCTTTGTTTCTATAGGTCCTGTAGGGCAGCACACCTCCAGCCTGGCAGCACACACAACGGAAGTGTGTAAGCCTGCGCCTGTCACCCTCCTCTTTATAATTGGCAGAGAAAACTGCTCCTTGTAAAGTGGAGCAGCTCCAAAGGGCAGTTCATCCCCACCTGAAATAAGCCTCTGAGGCCAGATTTATGAGTCACGCTGGATGCTGGCACTTTCCCTCCAGTGTCTGCAATGGGGTTGGAGCTCCAACGTGAACACCCGTGTGGAGGCATCTACTGCTGGGCGAGCTGGACTGCCCATCCTCCCTGCATCCAGAAGTGGTGATCCTGGAGCAAGGATCAAGATCCTGAGCACAACCAATCATGTGAGCCAGCCAAGGGCTGAAGCACAGATCTAACAGTTGCTCAACACGACATGTTTGTACCTGCATGGTTTCATTTACCTGCAGGGCTGACCAGGATCTCTGGGTCACCAAATACAGTCCCCTATTAACATGGGCAGCCACACCGCACCTTCCCTTTCATGACTCCATTCTAGGGATAAGTGCTTTTTATCTTAATTCCTCCTGCTGAAAGCCTGTTACCAGAACTTGCTGCTCTCAAAATTAGAGACTTTCTTCTAATTTTCAGCAGAATTCTCAAAGCCAGTGTTAGCCATAGCCAATCACTGTCATGAGTTAATGTCTCCTACAGGTGATATCCCATTAAGTTTTCCTATGAGGTTTGGTAGAAGAGCATGAGTTGCTCGTGCTTAGCTCGCACCACCTCCTGATGTTTACCTGGACTTGCTCACAGATTGAAACTTCACTCAACATTGACCCTGCAATTATTTTACCATGTTTTCCACTGCACATTAAGCAACCACCTGCTAAACCAAAGCCGTTTTCTTCCCTAAGGCAGGTGTGCCTTCAGCACCAGTAATAAATGCCTCTGGTTGGAGAAGAATATTTTGGCACAGTCAAGGCCCACTTACTGTGCTGGTGTTGATACCCATGGTAGTGAAGAGCTGGGGGAGCAACCTGCAAAGGATGAGCACCCAGGGACTTCAGGGCAGTCGCGCTTCTGCAAGGAATAGCTTCTCTGACTCAACTGACTGTGCACACGTTTCGTCTGCACCCACAACCTCATTTATCTCTTAATTGTGCTAATCAGCAGCTGGAACATCACCACTCCATTAGCTTCAGCCCTGCTGGTGGATCATTAACTTCTTCCCAGAGGCTGAGAGGAACATGAGCAGACAGCACAGCAAAGGACCTCCTCACCATGGATGAGGACAGCTTGCTCCTCCATCAGGCCAAATGAATGTGGCACCAAGACAGCTCCAATCCCCTTTAGGAAACAAGGCCAGGTCAGAAAGACCAATACAGTGCTATGACCCTAGCTGTCCAAAACAGACTCCACTCGACATACCCTAGAGCACCTGCACCTTGTGGTCTTGCATTTAATGCTTATGGTCTATCTCCTTCTTTCCTATGGATGGTAGGCACAGAGTTAGTCACAGACACCCCACATGGCTTTGCTCCCCATACTGTTACCCAGCTCCCCATTCCCAGCACACCATCTCTCACCCAGCACACCATCACCCCTTGCCCTGAAGCCGGCCCAAGGTGCATCACCTGTATGTGTTCTTTTCCAGTGAATCTGGGGTAGCTTTCTCAGTGCCAGATGGAAGCAGGAACTGGTGGGACCAGCAAAGGGATGTGTAAGCAGCGATGGCAGGATCCTACTCCCGTTTGCAGCCCTCTGCTTTCCTTCTCTGTGTAATGATGCCTCCCCCCGCCCCACAAGACTGCTAAAGCTCACTCAGCTGAGGTAATCTTCGAGGTGATGGTTTCAGCAGGAGGGGAATTACATGGCTTTGATTGGTCATTATGGGGAGAGAAGCGCTGCCCAAGTAGGGGTGCCCCCCTGGGCAGCTCTGGCTCCATTGCTGGATAACACAGCCTGGGCTCCCTGGCTGAGACACATCCGCCTGTCCAGCCCTAACCTGCTTACCAAGCAGAATTGGTCTGTTTTATATGTGACAGGTTTTGAGGCACCCCAAAAGCTTTGGCATGGGCAAAGCCCTGAGGAGTCTCCTCTATGCGTGGATACAGAGCACATAACAGAGAAACAGAGTCACAGAAGCACCTCAGGTCCCACAGGAAACTTGGTGTACCTGTGAGGTTTCCACTAAGGTGCTGCCAGCTCCTCACCTGCTGTCATACCCCACTGCCTGCCCTGTGAGCATCTTGTTCTGACATGCTCCTACCACAGCCCTGTGTGTGGGAGCATCCCCTTTGCCCATCCTGGTGGGCTCCCCCAGACCCTGATAGAGAGCAGCAGGCTCTGTGGGTGTAAATACTCCCACCAAGCTTTGAGATGCCTTCTTAGGTCTGCTTTCAGTCCACAGATAAGGCAAAATCCAGGAAACCCACAGGGCTCACAAGACATCGTCACCCTGGAGATAAGGGGAGTCAGCCAGGCTTTGTCTTGGAGGAGTGTGAGCACCCATGCTCTGAAAGAAGAGATTAAAAGGGAAAAGATGCAGGCTGGGTGGGAGACACTGCATGAGCTGGATGAGGCCCTGATGCTGCAGACCCTGGTAGAGTCAGTATGCTGATCTGCATGTTTCCCTGCCTCTGAGTGTACCCCAGAGACAGCACAACATGGCTTTGTCCTCCCCTCAGAATGCAATGAATTAGGTCTTACTAAATGGTGCCACTCAGAAAACCTCTTGTGCTTCATCTCATGATGTTTCCTCTGCCTCATCCCTCCCCAGGGTGCTCCAGACCAGGACCCAATCTCTTTAAGGAGCCCCAAAAAGGTACAAGCTGTGTTAACTCTCCCGAAGAGCAAAACCAGGGCAGGGGCTGATGACAGGAACATAGCCATCCCTGTTTCCTCTGCACTGCTTGAGTGAGGCTGAGACAATGGTCAACACAGTCCTTTCACAGCCAGGAGCTGTTTAAGGGTGGGCTGCATCCATACATGCCACTTGCCTTAAACCCTTCAAGAGATGATGCTAAACCCATAGGCAGACCTTCTTCACTGATAGCTCCGATACAGGTATTTTGTGGAGTGAGGAGCCAACTGGTGACACTAATCACTGCCCATATATATAACCAGTTCCAATCACTCAGCCGTGTTCTCCCATGCCATACCTGCCATGGGGTGTCCAAAGACCAGCAGTGAACGGTGAGCAATGTCTGCCACATGAGATTAGTCATTGCTAACAGGGTAGAGAAAGACCAGGATGCAGGCAATGGGGTTGGCTTTCTCAGGGACTACCCACTTTAGCCCAGAGGGCTGCTGCTGTTGCGGACGTGAAGGCATCCAAAGGAAACCCCTGATAAGCTCCCACTATCATGGCAGGGAGGAGATGCCGCAGATTCCTTGCAGATACCAGCACAGATCCCCTCGGACACTGCCCAGGAGCTCCACAGGCATTTGAGTGGGGGTGGAGGTTTGCTCCAGCATCTGCCAGACCCCATCACCCTCATCCTTCCTCCCAAGCCCCTTTGGCCTCTTGAGGGGCTGGGTTTATCTGGGTGGCTCCCTGGTCATTCCCAGCCTGTCAGTTCCTATGTGAAAAGTCATTGACACAGAAAGACCCACAGAAGCTGAAAACCCATCTGTTGGTGTCACCTGAACAACAGTCCGTTTCCATTGCTCACATAGTTTCCAGCACAAGTCCTGCATGACAGAAGTGAAGGTCATTTGCGAAGATGACATTCAAATGGGCCCACATTAAGCAGAGCACCAACATGCATTTCCCCAAGCACAGGGCAGCACATATCAATCATTATCTGCAGTGAAGATGTTTCTAACCCATGGCAAATACTAAATATTGTCACTGGTCTTTATTGGCCCCCCACACATCCATATCAGCCATTTCCTAGTGAAGAAGTAACTGTTGTAACCCACCTTCTCAATTTGGACTTCACAGGAACATCCTTGGGTCAAAATATCAGTTTATAAGCTCATGAGACTGGCAGAAGGTCTGTTACTCCTGATGTGAACCAGTTAGAGCTCTCCAGAACCACCTCAGGATCTGTTTGCACAGGACCTGATGAAATGGGCCTCTGATCACAACACAGTGTCCCCTCTCTTGCCACAAAATCAACATATACACAAAACACAGCAGGTCTGTGAAGCTACAGACACTGATTTGTGCATCTGAAATGTTCATTCATACGTTAAACTGCAGCATTAGGCAAATCAAGTGCCTGGCTGGAGCTCTCCCTTACAGGAACAGCAGTTCCGATTCACAAAGTCTACTTGAAAATACGTTGTTTTGAGGTGGCTTTCGCTGCTCACCCTCACAATAAGCTCAAACTGCTTTTCATTCTTCATACTAGGGTATGTAGAGGTTTTTGACACAAGATGCTGTGGGTGCTAAAAAGGGATCTAAAAATAGTTAGACAAATTCATGCAGGCGAAAATCCACCAATAGCTGTTAAACATGGACACTATCACAAATGACCCCCAAGCTGTGACTTGTTGGAGCTTGTAGAGTAGAATCATAGAGTCACAGAATGGTTTGGGTTAGAAGGGACCTTGAAGATCATCTAGTTCCAGCCCCCAATATCCCAATTGTTCTCTTCAGACCAAATTGTTCTGTTCCAAACCCCTAATTTGTTTTGTTCACACACTAGTCTCCCATCAGACCTAGGATCAACTCCATGGGTCCAACCCATCTCAATGACCACTGTGATGTCCAGTGGATGTCCACCACTTCAGCTACAGGAACAGAAGACTCGCATGTTCTTGCACTGCTCAGTTGTCCTGAGATGACATGACAATACTCAAAACATATTACCAGTCTACTGCTCACCAGTGTGAGTCCCCAGCATCCATTCCTCCTCCCTGCACATTTCCCATCTCCAGGGGGTGATAAAGACACCTTGTTCAGCAACAGCTTGGGGTAGGCAGAGGAGACATTTGCAACTGCTCAGTGTGCTGTGCGATCTTTGCTGAAACTCCTGCCCCTGCTTAGTGCTGGAGGTGCCATCAGATCCTGGGCCATGCTAAGTTATCCACCTCCCCATTGCTCTCTCCTCTGTGCAGTGCAGGTAGTGACCTTTTCCAGTCCCAGGACAGCCAAGGGCTTCCACTTCACTGGTGAGGCCAGCGGTCAGAAGAGCAGGTAGGGGCATCCTTCACACACACACAGCAGGTCGAGCCAGAAGAACAGCCCCCTCAGCTTCGCAGATCACTCACTGTAGTGCCTGCAGCTGTGCCGCAATTCAACGGCATTTTAGATAGAATAAAAGCTTTCAAAGAAGGAGATATGTGGATATAGGAGATAGTGGAGCCTGCCCCCACCCCAGCGCAAGCACCATCTCTCCTCTGGTGCTTTCTGTTCTGCACAGCACCATGAGACAGCAGCTTTGGATGTGGCACCAACACACGCAGTCACACATCTCTATCAGCAAGGGCCTGGGGGAGAAAAAGCAGTGCCAGAGCCATGGGAGCACTGCAGGACCCCCAACAGGCACCCTCCTCAGGGTGAGGGCTCACACCTTCCTCCTGCTTAGTCTTCCTCCTGGTCCATGTGGGAGCTGTGGTCTGTGAAAAAGGAGCCTCGGAGCAGGGTCTCCACTCCCTTGCACGTGCTGTGGGGTTTACCATGTCCCATCCAGCCACCCATTCCCTTATGCTGGTGGTGTCTCTAAATTCAGGACATGAACAAAATCCTCTGAACTTTCAAGATCTCTTTTAAGCCCGCATCAGCAACCACCTTAGAAGCAGCAAAGGGGAAATCTTATGTGACGCTAATCACAGTGATTTTGTGGGATGCAGCATGTTTGTTGTATGTCGTCACAGGGTGCTATGGGGGAAGAGATGCCTAGCTTCATAACAATCTTCTTGGACTGCAAAGCATCTGTTTCTTCAGGAGCTTTAGTTCTGCTTGTTTGTTATTTCTTCAATACAATTACCCCGTGTGTTTTTGGACTCTGACTTGTTTGGAAGCACTGCCAAAATAATCCATTACAAATAGTACAAGTAGGCAACAGCCTGATGGAATACATTCTACCCTGATGGGCATGTGCACAGAGCAAGATATGAGCCAGCAGTGACAAAAACATGTTTTGCTCTAGATTGTTGGCACTGAGGAAAAAAACATGCCCGTAATTTGCATTTGTTGCTAACAAGACAACAAGATTGATCAACACAGAGAAAGCAAGGTTCGTAAATCATAACCACCTAAGTTCTCAACAGGCTGACCTTAGTCTGTAACCCAGGGTCCGAGTATTCTGTCTATATGTCCGTACTAGCTAACTCTGTACTCATCTAACTCTTCAAATGAGGATATATCCTTTGGTGAAAGCAGTCCTGCTGCCCATGAATTCTCCCTGCCTGCTGACAACGCACAACCCGGAAGAAAACTGCAAATCCCATGGAAGAGTCCTACAATGTCACCTTGTGATTGACTTCGATAGCCACAAATGCGTAATGAAAATGGTTCACCCGTGCCCAGCATCCCAGCCAACCAGCTCTGTCTAAAACCAGTGCATCCCTCCCCAGATGCTGTCACCACTTGCTGTAGCTCTCAGTTTTAATCACAGGTTTCCCTTTCAGGCACTGACCCGTCCTGCCGGATCAGTCCTGCTCAGCTTTCAGCACCTGATAGGATCATAAGACAAGGCAAACGTAAGCAAAGGATAGAAACAGCGGATAGAGATCTAGAATAGGAATTACACACACAGCAATGCTATGTTATGCACAAAGGTGCGTGAAATATGCCTGAGAAGAAAAAAAGTATTAATCTGTATAGCTAGGAGA